TTTCAGTGAATTTGAACACAAAATTATTAACATAATGATCACATAGCAAATTTTCCAACTTATGAAAAAAGTAAACATGCACCTGTAAGGTTAGCTCTTCTTCAATTCTGTCAGTGCTGTTAATTCGTTCTATTGTACTGTTTGAACCACTGTATTCAAAAATGGCTCCTTGAATGTTGAGTTCTCTTTTTGACATGCTTACAACAAAATTTCCATTCAAGATAAAATTTCCATGAATATCAGATAAAGCTATAAGCAAAATAAAATATTTGAAACAAAACATCTATTTAATTAAAAGGTTCTAACAACAAAAACTTTGAATAATGTATCTTCTCAACAACACTTAGCTTTATTTTAGTCCATGTGTAGTACTTCAAAGTTGTATCAAACAGATTCTAAGGCATTCATTCAATCCTGACTATCAGTAATTTTCACCTGAGCAGCTGTCATGGATTTTCTCTGCATTAAAAACACACTTTCAATAACATTTGTTATACTGAAGGATGGATGCAGGAATCACTTTAAAATTTGGTTAGGTCCTGCTACTGTAAAAAGAAACAATAACTACCTGTATTTCCGGCCTATTCTACAACCCACAATCTGGTATTTTCTAGAGCTACTTTTAGCAAAGTGGCTTTTAAAAGTAAATGTTAAAGTCAAAATAAAGTAAATTATTAAACATTTACAATAATTATTTAATATAATGACTAATTTACAATAACAAAGATGAATAACAAGTTTAAATTTAAAAATAAAGTACAATTTTTAGTAAAGGTATGATATTCAGGCATCACTGCACTTGAAATAGTAGCTAGTACCAGGGGTGAGGGTTGTTTCTGTGTCCTGTGAGATGCAAGTGCAACAACAGGACAACAGGTGGCAAGGAAATAATTTTGAAAACTTAAGGTTGTTGAGTAGGATGGTAAGGAGGGAGAAGGAAAATATGCACCAATATTCTCTCAGGCACTTCAAACATAATGTAAGCACTGTGAAATAGAACAACCAAGATTCTTGGTAGAATATATTAATGAACCTTTGCTGCTCACACACTTGAAAATCTATCAAAAGTGATCTTCAGACTGAGAAATGTGAGACAACTAAGTTTGCTGAAGGTCAGACTGCTTTCTTTATAAATAAAATGTGTGTTTCCTTCCATGATTTAAACCCACACATATCTGCATTATTCCCAAGCTCACTTGTGGAACTGTAATTAAAGTTGCCACATTAAAGTGAAAAAGTTGACAAAATGATGCAACATGCTGTAAATCCTATTCTCTGACATATTAACACACATTTCAAAACTAGAAACCTAACAAGATCTCATTTTTTTTTCACTAATATCTGTGAGAGACTTAGGCAAATGACTATACAATGTAATTAGATATTTGCTCTAAAGACTTTATCAGACCTCTGATAATACGCATCTAGAGCAGACTTCTGGCAAGTGCACAAAAACTATTTGTCAATGTTACAAACAGGAGGCTTTTACCAAGGTAGTTGTCATCTTCTGGTTTCCCTGAGTAGCTGTGCTGCCGAATATCAATGTTGGTTGCTCCTTTGGGAATACTTACTACAACATTATAACCTGCAATGTAATTATTCCCAAATTAATAATATAGATATAGTTGAAAAATAGTAAATACAAATATACATTTAACTAGCTTTATTCACAAAACCCTCCAGAGCATCCATGATCACTACTGCTGAAAGCCTTCATGTTTTAGGAAGGGAATATTAATATCTTAATGCTTATTAAAATTTCTTTGTTGTTGGGTTTTGTTTAGATTTTTAATCAGTGGAAACGAACTTTTATTTTCATTAAAACTTATTCCTGTGTTCGGAAATATGAACTCAATTCTTTACTAATAACATGAGTTCAACCTACTCAGAAAAATCTGAGTAGCAGTGGCACTGCTTTTGGAAGCAGTCAAGTATAGTAAAACAATGCCATGCATTTAAATGAACATTTACTCTAATCACAGGTCCACCATATGCACCAGCTGGGGGCAGCAATGCAATTGCAAATTGACCCACTAGATGCTCTGGATTAAGACACAGCATTTGGTCAAACTACCAAAATATTGAGAAGAAAGAAATATACTCAAAAAAAGCCCCTCGTTTTACACGCTGAAGACCTTGTGGTAGTATAATGACAGAATACAAATGACAGGAGGAAACTATAAACAAAACTGCATAGCATTTTGTCAAGGATACAAGATATATATACTAAGGCACTGAGAATGACTATTTTTCACATGATCCTCAGCTATTATAATTTGATGCAATAATAATAGCCAACATAATAATTATGTGTACATAAAATGGAAATTAAGTAAATGGGAGATGAGTATCTCATTGTAATGAATTTCTGATTATTATTTCACTACTGCTTAAAAATGTAATAGTAACATTGTAACTGTATGAATACGAGCATGTACCTCAGGCCACTATTGCCTAATTCCAAATTCTCCCTTAGTAAAATGACATGGGTCAGTGTGGAAAGGAACCAGGTGAAGTTAAAATAAAAAGATCAAGTGCACAGATTTTGACATACTTATCTAGTGATCTTAACTCAGAATGTTTTGGAAAAGAAAATTTCCTCCGACAATATTTTCAGTCATTAGCCTATGGATGTCATAGGCCTCCCTTGGACACTGAAGTTCCAGTGATCAGCTAGCTACAACCTCTTGTGTGCATTCCTG